GATGAATGGATTTGCTAAATGATGGTTAGCTGGAGCCCTGATCTCCAGCAGGACTCAGCTGTGAGCTGCTGGATCCTCATTTCCTCACCAAACATCAGCTTTCCTGTCCACCATGGCGTTGATGTGTGCTGCTGTCTTTCAGTGAGTCTGGATGAAGTCTCAGAGCTGGATCCGGAGGAACTGGCTGTGGGCCGCTGGAGGAGCCTTTGTTCTGGTCCATCTGAGCACCTGGGCCCTGCAGAGAGCGATGAGAAGCAGCGTTCGATCTGAGGCGCAGCTCAGACAGAGGACTGCTGCGGAGAAGACGGACTGATCTCTGTTTGAAACAGAGAGAGATCTTCCTGCATCGGAACGGCTGGAAGCGGTTTCACATCTCTGGGAGTTCTGCCTGTACTGATCTCTGTCTTTGCTTCTAAAGTTCAGCCTCTTCATCCACAGCTGGCTTCATGTTAAGTGTTTATTATTGTAATAAAACCTTTGGTTGTGATGTAATACTCTGCTTTCATTAATGGTCATTAAAGTAAAACTCTCAACTGACCGGGTTTCCATCCAAGAAAGAACAAATCAAACTTCATATGAACAGAATGAGTGATTAAAAGTTACTTCTGACTTGTCAGTTATTTGAGTGGTGGTGGGGGGGGGGGCTCCAGCAGGAGTACTGCAGAGCGACCAGTTAACCAAACACTCCTGTTTTTGGATGGTTTCAGGCAGCAGTTCAAACCCACTGATCTACCCGCTGTTTGTCCTGCAGCTCCTGCTTGAAATTAGTTTGCTGTTTAATAACTTTAGTATTTGAAAGATTGGGATGAAGAGGGGGCGACCTGCAGCACATGCTTTAACCCCTGCTCCACCAACATGCCCTCTGGAGGGCTGTTATTTACTGTAAATGAATTCAATTTGACCTTATAATGTTCCAGAAGTGAAGGTCTGTTCCCTCAGTGTTTGGTCCTAATCATGCAGACCAACCCTGGAACTGCTGCTGCTGCATGAGTTCATGTCAGGGTTTCATAGTGGAGCTGTTGTAGTGTTTATCAGTCAGACATGGAACCACATCAGGTGTTTTAAAACAAGCCAATCCCTGATAGAAGCTGGGACCAAGGCTGTTAGAACATTGACTCTTCTGAATGGAAGCAGCTGAGAAAGTAGGAGTGGGGATTTCTTTACCAAAAACATGCTGGAGAAGATTCTCAGTCACTCAGGTCATAGTCATTCCAAAAAAGTGAAAAACAATCCACCAGACTTAGTTTCATTAAGTTTGAAGTAATTTTGCTTCCCATCCAGGAAGCTTTTTCAAATGAAAACGGCAACGTCGTTGGGTTTTACTTTTTTGGGTTTACCAAAAACACGTTCCCTTCATGTGGTTTGAAGTTTGGAAATGTTTCCATCACAAGCAGGAATTTAAATAAGACGTTTCAAAATCAAGACAAACTTAAACTGACTAGAATTTCACATCAAGCTGATCCAGACCAGACTGAAGAATCATTAAAGCAGAGGAAAAATCCCCGAGTGTAGCTCTGAGAATCACCACCATGCAGGCCTGCATTATCTGACCGTCTGCAGCCGACCAGCATCATCACTGGGTTGGTTATTCTCTTCAGTCTGTTCAAAAAGAAAGATACAAATATATGCCTGCAAAGCATGGGGGGATAGCTATCAAATTAAAATGGGATTTAGAAAACCCACAAAAAACCTAAAACCTGGCAGAATGTGTTTCCCTTCGGTTTCAGTGTCTCCAGAGAAAACATAGACCTGAACAGAGCAGATGTTGAAATGTTGGCAGTTTCCATCCTGCAGTGTTCACCCAGCATTCTGGCTAGGATAGGATATTTATTAAAGAAATGAGCTTTAAAGGATGGAACCAGCTCAGCGGACGGCTTATCTGATGGGATCCCTCTGGCTCAGCGGCACAGCATCCATACATGGAGAACTGAAAACAGAGGGCCACCCCAAAGCGTCCGTGTCTCTGGTTTGGGTCGTTCTAAACAGAAGAAACGGCCGTAGCTGAACGGCAAACTGTGCTGAACAGCTGGGGGAGTGAAGCTAGGCGATATTCTAGATGATCAGTCCCAGTGGAGCGAGCTGCACCACAGAGGGAGATAAATATAGTGAGATCAGCAGAAGAACAGGAGGATGAAAATAGAAAACCTTTATTACTAAATCATTGGACACCAATCCAACATTAGACCTTAAACATCACTGAACCCGGGAGGTTTTCAGGGATCCAAACCTCCCTAATGACACCAGGGAAGAGGAGACCTGCTGATGAATGTTTAACGGCGCCATCAGGAGGCGGAGATGAGTCTCTGCAGAGGCAGCTCCTGGACAGCTCTCACTATGAAAGCTTCTGGCTCTGGAGTTGCTCCGGCAGCTTCCTGCGGTCTTTCACTGCATTCCTCTTCCTCTTCTTGCTGAGGAACTTCTCCACTTTGCCGCTTTTCTTCAAGTCCAGGTACTTCTCAGCCAGCTGCAGCTTCTTCTTCTCCGCTGAGGAGAAAAAAGAAAACTAGATCAGGTGTTCCAAAAACGAGCTCCAGTAAATCCAACTTTCTTTCAAACTTTTAAACTGTCATTATACTGCAGTTTTATTTAGTATAGTTTGGGTTTTCAGGACCCTGGAGAGGTCAAACCAATCTCTAACATCAAAGGATGGTAAAAAGAGAGTTGCTCCTCGTTTTGGGAAAGAAATAAAAAAAAAACTGTGTTGTGAATTGGTGCTCTTTAGATAAACTGAACTGAATTCAGTCTCGAGTTGGCTTCTGGATTTAGACATTGACCTAACATCGTCTGTTCCTGTTTGGCTGTGACTCCATCCTGGAGAGAAATATCAGCTGTGCTGCTGCCATCAACACCTTTGTTTATAGATGCTGGAGATCAGCCTGTTTTTCAGTGTAGTCCTGTATCTCTTACTGTGACTAAGTGCATGATATATATGGGTTTTACATTTTATGTTCTTTGACAATCATACAAGTTTTGTATCACAAATGAAGCCCTCTTATTACCTAAGCACTCTCATTTCTGTTTCCTTGAGAGCATGATATAATTTGTTTTTGTACTCGCAACCTCTCGGTGCCATGCTCTGAGAATGATGTAATTTTGTTTTTGGTTTCGGCTGTCCACGAGCCCTGGGTGGGTTCGGGGGGGGGGGTGCCCGTTCCATATTTTGGTTTCTGTAATCATGCGCTCCAGGTGTGAGAGGGAGCGATCACTTTTCCTGATTGGGTGAAAGATTTTCCTTTGACGTTTGGCATAAATGACGGATGGCGGTTGGCACTGGCGGGGTCTCCTAGGGTTGCGTATGGACGCCTAGCTGTGCGGGTTGCTGCCCTGCCGGGATCGACCGGCCCTCCGATCCTTGTGTGACGGTAGGGGGACAATAAAAGTTGTATTGAGGCAGTATAATTTGTATTCAGCACCGTGCCTTGATTGATGTGCTTGCTTTGCTGTTTTCTGTGGCGGAATAAAACGACACATTTTAATTCTAGCAGAAACAGTTTGTGTGTTCTGTGTGTGCATCCCGATCCTGCCTAAATTNTCATCCTTTCATGCTGTGCTCTGCTTGCGCTCACCGAGCCGTGTGATCAGTTCACCAGTCGCTGCAAAGAACCGACTATCAGGCTCCTGGTCCACAATGCAGGGTTATTTATAGAGGTGTTCTCTAGCTGCTAACGGCACAGAGATCAGCAGACTTTAAACTGTTTCACACATGGAGTTCTCTATTAAACCCTGGGAAGCATTAAAAGGCTCATTAAAGGCAAACTGATACTAAAGTTTCATTTTAGAGCCAGAACCGAAATGTTTTACCTTTTGTAGTCCGTGTTTCCAGGGCAACGGTTCCAGAGCTGAGGAACCATCCTGCCCCTCCCTGAATCAGTTTCCTGGATCCCTTCAGTCCTGCCATTAAATAAAACTAAGCTGACCCTTAGGTCCCTTACTGACCATCCAAGAGACATCTGGAAGCTTTCTGTCTAATGATTTCCACTAGAGCTGAAACAATCAGATTAATCGATTATTGAAACAATCAGCTAATTTAGTCATCGGTTTATCTGGAGTCTAGAGACTCACTTAAATAATAATTGAACTTTATTGATCTCACATTGGAGAAATGAACTCTCTGCATTTAACCCATCTCATTGGGGAGCAGTGGGCTGCCATTGTGCGGCGCCGAGGGAACAGTGTGGGGGTAAGGGTCTTGCTCAGGGACCCAGAGTGGCAGTCTGTGGGAGTGGGGCTCGAACTCAGAACCTCTGGATTCCAAGCTCTATGCCCTAACCACTAGGCCGCCCCTCCCCCAGAGCAGGAATTATACAAAAAATATATAAATATTTTGCATTTAAGATTAAAACAAAAACAACACTGTGTCAACATGCTCTATCAGAACCCCTCAAGTGGAAAAGTTTGAGTTTCACTTGTTTAATTAAGTAGAAACTGTGATTATTAATGGAGAAAATAATCTTCAGATGAATGGATTTGCTAAATGATGGTTAGCTGGAGCCCTGATCTCCAGCAGGACTCAGCTGTGAGCTGCTGGATCCTCATTTCCTCACCAAACATCAGCTTTCCTGACCACCATGGCGTTGATGTGTGCTGCTGTCTTTCAGTGAGTCTGGATGAAGTCTCAGAGCTGGATCCGGAGGAACTGGCTGTGGGCCGCTGGAGGAGCCTTTGTTCTGGTCCATCTGAGCACCTGGGCCCTGCAGAGAGCGATGAGAAGCAGCGTTCGATCTGAGGCGCAGCTCAGACAGAGGACTGCTGCGGAGAAGACGGACTGATCTCTGTTTGAAACAGAGAGAGATCTTCCTGCATCGGAACGGCTGGAAGCGGTTTCACATCTCTGGGAGTTCTGCCTGTACTGATCTCTGTCTTTGCTTCTAAAGTTCAGCCTCTTCATCCACAGCTGGCTTCATGTTAAGTGTTTATTATTGTAATAAAACCTTTGGTTGTGATGTAATACTCTGCTTTCATTAATGGTCATTAAAGTAAAACTCTCAACTGACCGGGTTTCCATCCAAGAAAGAACAAATCAAACTTCATATGAACAGAATGAGTGATTAAAAGTTACTTCTGACTTGTCAGTTATTTGAGTGGTGGTGGGGGGGGGGGCTCCAGCAGGAGTACTGCAGAGCGACCAGTTAACCAAACACTCCTGTTTTTGGATGGTTTCAGGCAGCAGTTCAAACCCACTGATCTACCCGCTGTTTGTCCTGCAGCTCCTGCTTGAAATTAGTTTGCTGTTTAATAACTTTAGTATTTGAAAGATTGGGATGAAGAGGGGGCGACCTGCAGCACATGCTTTAACCCCTGCTCCACCAACATGCCCTCTGGAGGGCTGTTATTTACTGTAAATGAATTCAATTTGACCTTATAATGTTCCAGAAGTGAAGGTCTGTTCCCTCAGTGTTTGGTCCTAATCATGCAGACCAACCCTGGAACTGCTGCTGCTGCATGAGTTCATGTCAGGGTTTCATAGTGGAGCTGTTGTAGTGTTTATCAGTCAGACATGGAACCACATCAGGTGTTTTAAAACAAGCCAATCCCTGATAGAAGCTGGGACCAAGGCTGTTAGAACATTGACTCTTCTGAATGGGAGCAGCTGAGAAAGTAGAAGTGGGGATTTCTTTACCAAAAACATGCTGGAGAAGATTCTCAGTCACTCAGGTCATAGTCATTCCAAAAAAGTGAAAAACAATCCAC